ATACGCAACTGACCCGAATAGTGCCCACTTCTGTCGGGGGCGCTCCTAAAACCTCCAATGAAGCGTAGTCCTATCGGCGAACAAGGCCACGCAACTGCATTGTGCGGAAGTGGCGGTCTGCTCCGCACATAAAATGCCGAGGCAGGACGTCTATGGCATGCATTTGGGTCAGAGGAACTGTGTGATCACTTGCTACCTCTCTGTCGTTTCTTAATCTCGTAGTTAGCTGCTAAAGGCATTTATTCAGCGTGACCATACAATTACTACTCGAATGGGGGATTCCAGCGCCGCCACTCGCAAATTTCGCTTACCGTGTGTTCTCTAAATCTGCATGCTTTATGTTGGTCACCCGGCTATGCACTAAATCTATACTTTGATGAATCCAGTGGAACTGGTGCTAACCTTTCCGTAATTTCTTCTTCGCATCCGCCTTACAATGACAGTGTGGATGCCATTCCATCTTCTGTTGCCTATAATTATCTTTACTGGAACCGTTAACGGTAGGTTAGTGGTGTGGAGGCAACGTCTCCGCCGGCAAAGTTCAGAACCCCAATTTTGTCGAATGGTAGACTGTTAAACAGCCTACTGACAAATAGGACTTTACAGGTGGCATATCACTCATCGACCAGGTCTTTTCGTCTAAACGCTGTATCCTGCTTCTCAGTGGTAGGTGGTCTGTTGATTAAACCTACAACCTAACAGGAAAAGCATAATAAGATAGTGGAGTGTTTAGACCGAATAATTACTACTACGGACGTTACCTTTGTTATTTACAGAGTTATTACAAAGGAATATGCTGGATTGTATAATTCGTGAATAATTACAACTCAGTTTATTTGAGGGGAATGTAGGTGTGTACCTTTGAACTCCCTTTTTGTACATGCGTATTGCGATAATAAAAATAGTATTTCATCTTATGTGTGAAGCCAAATGACGTGGGCCCTTGAGGTGGAACAAAGGCGAAAAAGAGCAGAGAGTGGAAGGAAACTACTTGGGACTTTTAAGGAGAAAAAGCTGTCTCTTTTGGGGGAGGGTCAAACGGAGAGGACATCGCAGAGGTTACCTGGATCATCATCGAAGTGCGGAACATGCGGCCGGACACTCCCTTTCTGAGTGCCGAGTCCGCCGACTAGGTTGCGAAAACAGAAGTGTCTGTCAAGACCTTCGACAGTCCGCTGCAGTTCGAACCCAGGGGAACCTTTAGGAGCCGCGTGGATTATGGTCACAAGGTTCGGCTGATGTCATCGCTGACGGGATCGTCGTGGTTCGTCTTTAGTCAAGTAGGGAAGACCGCGAAGACCCTTGCATGAGAATGATGACGAGGAACTGCGGACGAAGGATTGTGCATAGTATAATATGGACAATTTTTAAGCGCGTCAGGAGGACGTCGGTCGGGTAGTAGTGTAGGCTCACTACTCCAAGTGAAAGAGTATACTAAAATGTTATTAGAATGTAGCAAGTTGTATAATAATTGTACTTTTTAAATGCCGGTGCTCCAATCGAGTGTTATCGTCGATCACACATAATATAATAAATTATTCTGCAAAAACAAATGTTACTATCATATAGAAAGTACTGTGTCCGTATGACTGCGGTCAGACTGTATGCAACTGAACTTGCCAGGGAAAGTATGTTTTTGGTGCAATAGCGGCTTACACCAATATACTTGATGCTTATTGGTTCCGATTGATACGGCATGTATTAGTAGATATCAACTCGCTGTTGGAAATCACCCACTCTCCGTCACTTGCAAAGTTTAACGAGTAAGAACTCATCCTTCGGGGTGGGCACGCATAATTCTAAACAACAGACGACAGTAATTTGCATGACTTTACTACGTGGCGTCATCTCACCAACTTTATTGATAGTGTTTAGATGCGGTAGACCGAGTAATCCCGACTATTCTCAAACTCGACAAACAAGATAGCAATTATATCATCCTCATTTTGCACTGTGCCTCCAATCAGATTAAATTATTAACTACTTCTACTTACACTTCTGGAGAGTAAACCGGTCGTGATCTGATCTTTTGTTTACACTTGTTTTACTCATTTACAGTTCCAAACATGTCGGCAATCAAACGGCGTGCTGGCGAAAATTTAAAGTCTCTTCAACAAGCTGTAGGCCTCCTTTCAAATGTCGAGAAAACTGCCAACAAGAAGAAGAAGATAGTTGATGACAGCGGCAAGGGATCGGAATTGACAGCTTCCGAACTACAGAAACTTTCGCAGTCCCCTGGCGGCTTGGCCAAGATGACAGTGCCATCACTGAAGCAGGGCGTCTCTCTTCTTAAATTGAAACCTGCATCCACGAGAAAAAACGATCTTGTTGAAGCTATCCAGTCATACTTCCAAAGTTAACCCCCATTATATCCTCTCCTTTGCTATACGTTTATTTTCAATTGCTGTAATTACCATTTCTCATCATTTTCTCCACTTTCGCTCGATAATAATAAACATGTGGAATAACTTGAGTCTCCTGTTCTCCTCAGTCACTCTTGTGTTGTGAACCACTTTCAATTGTACTATCAATCAAATATGCACTAGTTAAATATCACCATTGTCGAAACCTTTAATCGGCCTTTAAATAGGTACTTGTCGGTGAAAAATTGGATTGCTGCAATTTAGAGAGGGCTAGATATCTAGAGGGAATGCCTTTCGATTTCATGGAAGACAACATTCGACAATTGGTGTCTCTATAAATAGCGTGTTGGTCTTTCATGAAACATATCTAATTAGAATCCGTCACAAAGAAGGGCGGCGAACTACCTAGTGTTTCGAATAGTTCATGCAAACCCGTTTCTATTTTTTATGTGCTCATTTTCGTCGTAAAAGTGAACAATTATGTTGATTAAATTTACTCAATGTCGGATGCGCGCCTATCCTGCCAAGTAACCTGAAGAATGAATAGACTGGAAATGTGTTGCCAGTTTGGATAATTCTACCAAAATCTTCTTATCGGTTGAAATGTACTTCTGAGAAGCTGTATTGTCCGATGATATAGATGATAATTTCACAACTGAATAAGAACTATTTGGGTAATTTCGGAAAAGCGAATTTTACTCTAGCAGACTAAGTGTAGCAGATTAATACCAAAGAAGATAAGCGAACTCAAAGCCGTATTAGTATTGTATTATTAATTTAAGGACTGGGGTATAGGCATGGAACCTAAAGTCCGAATAAAGAAGAGTAATTTGTGAAACTCATCAAAGCCTAATTTACTAGGAGTATAACGTACAATTCGGTATGGAAACGTACCACTGGTATATCAAAGGGAATGGTGCATCATTCAGAATATATGACCAGGAAATCCAGGGAACCGCGCAAAGTATCAACAGAATAAGCTTATCGTTCGTCATCTTCGTTCGTCATATAGCAGCAGAAATGTGGAATTCATCCCTGTATTTGCTGACTTGCTCTTATTTTCGCAGATTAATAAATAAATTTTATATTTTAGGTCCGGAGGGCTTCGTCATTACAACCTTAGTGGTGTGGTAAAAATTAGTACAAAGTAGATAAATGCTGCTCTTTGTGAGCAACCGCAGAAGCAGCGGGAGTGTTTAGTATGGTAGGCAAATAGTTTAATATCCATCAACACTCTGAAATGTATGGTGAACTAAGGAGGACGCAATGAAAAAAAAACTCCTATCATGAAAGCGGGGGCAGATTTCAGCGGACCCCCACTTTAAGAAATTAACACGCAGGAGGAAAAGACTGCTTCTATAAAAATTAAGAAGTTGGCTGACATGATTATTGCGGTACAATGTTGAGGACACACCCATAACGTCTGACAGACCTCTTAAATAGAAGATAGTGCAGACCTCGTTTTCGTACTCGCCACAAGATATCTTCAGATGTGTCCAGTAACAAAGCACGGAATGTTGATGCACCTGCAAATACGGTAGCCCACAATTCAATAACAGTCTAATGTATCTGCCCGGAAAACGTGGAGACAAATATACATCCCTTGCGACTTCAAAAAGTGTTCACTGTTCGCTAAACCTTTTTTCCATAGACAAACTGAAAATTGTACTCTGTATGTTCACTCTTTCTAATATTCACCCCAAAACGTATTTTAATTTACCATGAAAGTACCTTTATGA